GAGGCGCCGGCGCTGATTCGAGCTCAGTGTCGGGGTTTGAGGTGAAGCTGCTGCTGGAGAAAGACTGGGATTCAGAGGTGGAGTTGTGGTGTTGCTCTGGTTGTGTGGGAGAGCTGGTTACAGCAGGTGGAAGGTTCTGGATCTCTGGTTTCTGAAGAGGGCATGGGGGGACAGGGGAGGGAGGAGGCTCAAGTTCCTCAGCATCTGTCTGTGGCTTTTTGAAAGATGAACAGGAAACCATTAAAACCATTATAAAATATCACCTTTCATTCAAACTTTAAAACAAAGGTGAATTCATCTGTCTGCAGATAAACTGGACTAACAAACTATTTTATTTAGGTGCTTCTCTGAAAACAGTCCCCAACAGTTGCCTCTAAGTGCTTTATAAGGTAGGCGAGGTCATAATAATAATACAGAGAAAACAACGACGGTTGAAACGTGAGTGTTAGATTAGGGGCGACGGGACAAAGACTTTATTTTACCACTGAAATCTAAGTTTTGGATTTTCATTCCTCCAGTTGAAGTTATTTGATGAGAGCTGGAAAGGAAGACTGAAATCTCTCTCAGCAGAAACCAGTTAAAATATTTAACTCTCACATGTCTGATCATCACAGTTTGAATACAAAACGACTTCACTGTTTGCAGCACTCACAGGAAACAAAGTGAAGAAAAAGAAATTAACTGATGATCATGTCATTTTATAAACACTTTTTTCCAATTCCTGTTTTTCATATTCACATTAAACAACTGACAAATTTCTCGACACGTATAAAACAGATGCTGCTTTACCATCAAGACATCAGAGATTCTCGTGGTAATCTTTTACCCTTTACCAGGTAAAAGTTTCCACAGAGCACATATGTCTGCTGTGCTGCTGATCTCAGGGAGAGAACATGATGAAACGCACCTTCTTCCTGGTCGAGTCTGAGGCAACAGCTGTGCTAAACCTGCCCAGCTAAGGTTTTACACCACATTTACATCATACAGCTGCTGCTTACTTCTCACAGAGCACGGAGTGAGACTTTAACGTCTCACCAAACCATCGGCCGGGCCACGTGCACCTCCTCCTCCTCCTCCTCCTCTTCTTTAGCCTACTCTATTCTGCAGAAATGCACCTTCCCTCCTGCGGTCTCTATTCTTGTTGAGGAATGGATATTTCTTGTTTCTTGCTTACCAGCGTGAGCTTAAGTTATATCAATTGTCATGTTTTCATAGGTAATATTTCAAAACATTGCAAAACATCTGGTATCAAAAATAAGCTCCAATGCCAAGCAGCAGTCTTCAAGCACATTTCAAAGTATAACAGGTGTGATTACTCGTTTCTCAGGTCTCGAGCTGCCTGGGTTTATAACACAGTAGAAACAAAGATTAAGAAGAAGAAGAAGCAGCTGGTTATTGTAAGGTTTTGAAAGGGCATCCTATTTTTTATCAAAATAAAAGTTTTTATCACAGGGAATTCTTCCACTTCATGTTTCTTGATGTTCACTCGATTATGCCGCCTGTCAGACTCAGAACTGGGAATTTAAGTGATACTGAAATGTACTTTTCTAAACACATCAAATCTCCCACTAGCTCATG